AAGAAGAAACTTAGTTTATAAAGTTTTTAAGCTGATTTCAAAATGTAATCAGAATTTGTTTATATTTTATTGTTTTGCATTAGCATTGCATTACACATGTTTTAAATATTTATTTGTTAGGTGGTAGGCCACTGTTTTCTGTCTTTGAGCAGCTAGAAACAATTTTTTACTTTAATAACTTGTAAGGAGTTACTTAAGAAATTAAGAAAAAAAATTTTTTTGATTATATATTACCTTAGAACCTTTAAAATTAAGATTTGTAGTTAATCTAGCCTATCTACACAAAATTTTAGAAATCTGAGTCGGTGTCACCAACTGCACTGTTTGATTTGACGTGTAATGAAGGTAGAAAGTATCATATGGATCTGCCCTATTTTTAATGAGATTCCCAACAGAAATAGTTTCTTTTGATTTTTTAGTCTTTAGGCTAACCACTATTTTACTTGTCAGCAGTGCACTGTAAAGTTTTCAATCACCCAATTTAGTTAGTGAATAGGAAGTGGGTGTTTCTAACTGCTTGTTGGCTTCAGGGCACATTTTAACAGACTCTGTAAATGATATGTTTCAAGAGATGTAACATAGATAAATCTGTGGCAATTCTAAGATTTAAATTTATTATTTTACATTGCCTGATAACTGCCAATATACGATCTCGTGCTCGTTTTTTTAGAAACTTGTTCACTTTCGTGTTTTTTTTTATTGTTAGTGATATTGATAAGGAAATGCGATAAAATGAGAATATAAAGTGTTAAACAAGTAAATAAAAAGAAACACATGTTAAAATTAGATGGGACGGTAAAAACATGAAGGAAAGTTAGTTTTGTAATAAATTATATGTGTAATTACTTAAGACATAAAAGATTATGTGTAAAGAAGAACAAATAAGAGAAGAAATAAAAAAGTATAGTTAAAGACAAAAACTAGCTATAGCTATAGTGACAGATTTTTGGACGAGATTTTGGAGGGCATTATGATATGCATATTCTGATAATAATAAATAATAAATTAAATAATCATCCCCGGTTCTTCATAATATATCTATTATATTAACATTTGTATGCAAATTAAGCGTTTTGATACTATTTTACTCAGGCTACCATGTGATCCAAAATAAAATTTAAGCAAAGAGCAATTCAAGTAAAATACTACTTGCAAAGCCATAGGCATATCGTTTGCGTGAGCCCAAAAGGTTGTCTGGTGTACTAAATTAAAAAAAAATTATTTATCCTCGTTTCTAAACAGGAAGTATATATAGTTGTGCTTTTATAGCACAACTATGTATAATACATCAGTTATAAAAATTGGCATAATGCTATTTTTTCGTAGCTGATGTATAGCACAACCACGTATACTTCTTAATGGCAACCTGTTTAGAAACGCAGGTAAATCTTTTTGAAGTAATACTTCTTTTGGCGCGTTGTAAGTAAAATTTTAGCATGCCATGGAAGTGACGTAACAGCTTAACACCGCGCCACGAAATATATGAAACGATTTTAAACGCCTTTATTGGGAGAGCATGAAGTCGCAGTGGTAAGAAACGTTGATGTGTGTAACAAAAAACAAACATGTAGGTAGGTTTTTAACCTTTTTTAATTATCAGGCGAGCACAAAGTCGCATAGGTTACATAATTTATTTTTGCTGTACCGCTGGATATTGATATAATCGGTATTTTAAGTGTCATGTTTATTAAAAAAGTTATTTAAAGTGAATGGAAACTTCCCTTACATGCATAAATTTCAAAAATGTTACGACACATTCGCACACTTAATGTGGTTTAAAATTAAAAAATAGTGGGAAAAGTTCACACATTAGCATAAATTAAAAAACACCGTAGGATAAATCTAAAAAATAGTAGGACAAATTTGCACAGTCCCATAAATCAAGACAGTATCACTTGTCTTCGCTTCACAAAATCTAACCTTAAGGCTATAAACAGTGCATTTTAAATCCAGAATACCTAAGGTATTTATTCTATAAAGTTTCTGCGACCCCAAAGTGCATAAACACCCCACGAACCAGAACGAAAGTGCAAAGCTAATAGTGTCCCCTGCCAGAAACAGGTAGTTCAGTAGGCAATGGGAATATATTCCTGATCTTTGCCTAACATAAACATAAACATAATAAAGCATTCATCACCCATAACTTTCAGGAACCAAACAAAAATAATAGGCTTAGATTAAAAAAAACAAAGGTCAAGAGCATTGATTAAAATATAAATGCAACCTAACTTAATTGCTAGAAAAAAACAATAGAAAACGTAATGCAATGTTACACAAAACGTAGACACTGTCTACCGTAGACTAGGATAGACAACGGAACGTTAGGACCACAAATTAACCAGAATTATTAGAATGTTGCATCACTTCGGTAATAAAAAAAATGAAAAAAAGACAAAAAAACAAAAATTTACCGACCACTATCTATCTATAGTGCTCGAACTCTTGACTGAAGAAATGGTTTCGCACAGTGGGGCAAATATTTGCATTCAGCAGTTTCCAAATTTCAGCAGACTCGGACACAGATGAACAAGAAGTACTACAAGACTAGCAAGGAAAGGTTTGGTTTGGGTGGGGTTGAGTCATAGCAGCGTATTAACCAACCAATCCCCATTCATGAATCCCAATTGGTATTTCTAAATCCCTGGTTGAGGGGGATTTCGGATTGTACTTAGTTTTGGGTCAGTCTAATGTCCCCCAAAAACCAAAATGTTTTCCCTCCTTCTCCCGCACTCCACTAGCCTAAATAGGGCGTATGAAGGGCCTTAACCATCGTAGCCATGGTAGCCTCAGTAAAATCGTATCAAAACGCTTAATTTGCAAACAAATGTTAATATATTAAGAACCCGGGATGATCCTTTTATTATTTATTATCATCAGAATAGACATACTAAGTAAAGGCACGTCTGAAAGTCTGTCATTATCCAGCGGTCTTAATAAAAGAAAGAAATATGAAGAATAAGTAGTAAAGAATATAACATATAGAACATTAAATTTTAACAGTAATAGGTTGGAATTTTAAGGCTTATAAAGATATGATAATAATTCATAATCATAATTAATCTATATCAAGTCGTTTTTTAAATTAAACGCTTTACTTTCTACAAAACTTTTTGTTCATTTAGTTAAACTACTCATCAATAAACAAACAATTAACAAATTGTCAGACTGAAACTGTAACTATGCATTTTGTTTTAAGAGAAAGTTCATGAGTATAAAACCGTGACAAAAAAGGACGACGGTTTTTAATTGGTCAATATAAAACAATGATAAACGATGCTTAAGTATTTGTATCATAGAATTTATCGCGTTTGCAAATCTCTATCCATCAAATAATTTATTGACTGAATGATTCGAGTTTTTTTACTAATCTGGTTTTTATGATGGCTATTGGATGGGAAAGCATACACTGTAGGCTTCACAATCGCGGCATTCCATAAATTTTTAATATGGGATTCCAATAATTCAAAAGTAATTACAATATTATACCTAATTGTGTGATTCTCCTTATATGATTCAGGGTAAAGTAAAAAATATATGAATTAAAGTATAATTTTATCGACAAAAACTATAGATTATGTTTATAAATTATTTATTATAGTCAGACATTATTTTCTATGCCACAAGATGTAAGTGTTAAATGTAGAAGGAAAAAATAACATAAAGTGTCAACCCATCATTAGTTATTAATTATTAATTAGTTGGGTACTTATAAATAGTTATTGGCAGTTAATAGGAAGGAAATTAAATTAAAAAATGTACAAATATGATGTAAACAAGTGGGTTAATTGAGAAGGAAATAACTTCTTAAGATCTTAAATAGACCATCCATACATTAATTAAAATATTGCCTTAAAAAAATATTATTTTTCGTTAATTTGACATGCATTATATAAGAAATCTGTACTATTAGCATAACATCATGTTAGTATCGCCACTTTTTATACATCGGGGATCAACTTTTTCTGTTTCCCGAACCATAAAAATCACTTATAAACGATCTCGTTTTCGAATTGGTACACTTTTCTTTGCTAGATCAATTAGAGCTCATTTAGGGATAAACTCCATATCTGGGCAATAGTTGTTATTCAATTACGCTTTTTATATGACAACTTGTCAGGAAGTGATTAAAACATACAAGTAATTTAAGAAACTGATTTAGTTTAATTTAGCGAGTGATAGAAATACACAATTAACTAGCCAATTATCCAACAAGTTTTATTTAAGGTGCAGCATCTATTTACCCAAAAAGATTTACCTATATATTGTACAAAATTAAAGAATGTTGGAATAATATTTTTTATTTGTTTACTTTATTTAACAAATGACGTGTTTAATGCAAAACCGAATGCTTCTATGATAATTAAGCTGTATACACTACAAATGAAAATACGGTATTACAAAAAAAAATGTTATCATTAAAGTTATCATATAAAAACAATAATTGTTTTGAAACATTTTAGGTCGATATAGGAAACAATAAGCATTGTCATAATATTTAAAATCCATATTTCTTTTGTAGCCCAGTCACTTTATACTATGCTTTTAGCTTTTTAACTTTTTTCGATATATTACAAGATTAGATTAGATAATTTTTAAAGCAAATATCACAAGGACAATTTTAGGAACCATCTGCGATTTTGTTTTTTACATTCCTTTGACAGTTTTTTAAATTAAATTTATTATATTTTGAATCAAGAGTATTTAAGGATCTGATCACTTAATAAAATTAAGCTAAAACTAGATAAATTGTTAAATGACTGGACTATTTAAGTTAAAAATGTTATGGAATTATTCATTGCACATTTACCTATTCACCAGTTAATAATAGGTTGTATATAACGATGAATATCACTAATTGACACCTGGAATTAACTTGGCAATATCCTGCGATTAAAATTTCGTAACATGATTTATGTAATTTCGTAGATATTTGGTTCAAAGTAGTCTCAGTATTACTATAGTATAAAAACTCTTTACCTAATTAATTTGTATCACATTAATCAAGTATTGTTGTTACTGTCTTCAGTTTCTTTCTTGCTTTTGGGTTTTTCGGAGTCTTCCTCTTTGTTTGAGGTTTCTGAGGTGGTGGAGGATCTTGAAGAATAGTTGTCTTTGTCGGAAAAATAAGAGGAATCCCTTTTGGTATCATCAGGAGACCTGGTTTTTTCTTTATTTGCTTTAGTGTTATCGAAGAATTGTTGTGGCAGATTTAAAGGAAAGTTAGGTATACTTTTAGGAGGTTGTAGTTGTTGTAGTAGTCTACCATCAGTTACTTTCCCCATGAATGAACGTATTTCTTCAAAGTATGACTCCTCGCTAAGGTTTCTATTGCTTAAATTCCTTCTTTGGAGGTTTCTTTCATCTAATATCGTTGGTCCATCAGCTTCATGTTTTTTTAAGTGTCTATCTAAGTTGGTTTGTTGACCAAAGCATCGCTCACATAGTGGACATTTAAAAGGTTTTTCTTTATTGTGTATATTCCTTACGTGCCTTTGTAAATTACTAGAAATACTAAAGGATCTTTCACAGTATCTGCATTTGTACGGTTGCTCACCGGTGTGCGTTCTAAGATGTCTTGTAAGGTTAGCTGAACGTGGAAACACCTTACCGCAAAACTTACAGGCGTATCGGTCCTTAATTTTCCCGCCGGCTGGGTCGTACACTTTCGGTGTTTGAGGTGCAGGTGGCGTGCGTAGCATATCGAAAGGAACTTGGTTTACAGGTGGGCTCAACATGGCGGAGCTGATGAAAGGATATCTTTGTGGGTATCCTGGTGGCGAGTTTGGGTAAGGTATGGGTAATCTAGGTACTTTATCGCCTTGGGCGCGGTACATGGCTTCCAGCATCATAGGGTGGATTGGTTGGGGTGGAAATAACATGCCGGGATACGCAGGAATTTGAGGACTAAACGTTTTTGGTGGTAGTGTGTTTTGTACAGGACTTATATTTCGTTCTTCAACTATGATATCGTCTTTCTCACTTGCTACACTTGGTGCCGGTGAAACAAGATTCCTATTTTCATCTTCTACCTGCCTTCTCATAATCATCAAAGACAATTTCTTGTGCTCAACTCTTAAATCCAACGGTTGATCATCCCCGTCGTGTGGGCCTGGTGGAGGTCTACCAGCAGGAGACATATGAGGTCCTGGACTTCTAGTATTCCTTGATAAATCAAAGGGCATTTCATCGCCGGGTCTAACCGACAGTGGGTATACTGCTGCTTGCTTAGGCGAGCTGTGGCCCCCAGACGCCACCAGCATCTTACGGGGAGATGAGTCTTTTTCGCGCATTGTTAATGGGAGTGATAGTGGCAATGGAGGGAGATGCCTGAGCCAGGAAAGGCCCGATTCCACAACACTCATGGAGAGCAAGTCAAATCTGAAACAAAATAAAAATAGTTGAAAAGCAAAATTCGTTTTGATTATTTGATGCAATAAAAATTTATCAATTTATCCTATCCTTAATATACACGATTTGTAAAAATTATTTTGACCTAAACCATATTTAAACAAGGGGTCGTCCCCTAATGAGGTGTGTTTTCCCCTAATTGGGTAATGTAAGATTATTAACATATTTTAGGAATTTGATACTCATTATTCCTAAAGTTTTATAGTAACTGGTTTAAATGTTTTCCATACTATTTCAAATAGTGTTAAAGGCTCCATCAATAGGGTACATAAAACGTTCTTAATTATTGTTTTTAACATTAATTCTGTATATGGTAAAAACACCATTAGTGTTAAAGACGATAGGTAATTTTCAAATATGATACGTATTAAACCCGATAAAACATCCAATTAACAACTATTATTCTTAATTCGTTAAAAGAAGTTGTCGTGAAAACCGCACAATTAAAATAATTGAAAGATGTATATTCCGCATATTTAAAATCGCGTTTAGTGAAATGTATGTCGTTAAAATCAATTCCTATTTGCTACTGAAAGAGATAAAACTAATTGGAATTCAAAGAAATTATCCAACAAGAATGGAATAATGGTTTTCTTCAATCAACTAAAGCTAAAGATAAATCATTCATTTGTGTTCAATAACAAAAACTGTTAAAAATTCCTTTATTTATGATTTAATTGCCGCATAAACAGTTAAAACAACTGAATAGTTAAAATAATTAGGTAAAACAATACCAAAGTCAATTATCTTAAATTAGCAACCTGTATGATTCAATACGTTACCATGGTATATGCAATGCATGTTATGTATATACAATAGAACTATTATTATTCTTGATATTTAGTCGATTTGTTTCATGTAAATTTCCTTTTTACGAATTGCAAGTAATCGCTTTGAGGCTCCATTGTCTAGCATAATTCATCTATGCTTCTGTATAGGTCAAATTGCCCTCATAAGTCTGATATTATAACAGACTATTATTTTGAAAAGTATTTTGACAATAATTTCGCTACTTTCCTTTGTAATTTATTGATTAGCAATACAAACTGGAGTATATAGATTGCTACCTCTCTTAATTTAAGAGTCTTAAAATGAAATAGTCAAAAGTCTTAAAATGAAATAGTCAAAATTCTACTATTTGAATTAGTACCAGCATTTTTTACTAATAAAATAGTCGTTTTCACTTTTAAATAGTTATTTTTTTACTACGTAAATAGTTTGACTAATTTAAGATTAGTCACCATCTTTGACTATTTCTGAGAGTTAAAAGTAACTAATTTCTTTAATCGTTTGGGGCAATAACAAAGTATTATTTAAATTAAATGCATTTACCTAGGCAAGACAAACAAAGATGCAAAAAGTTTAGCTCAAAACAACAACATAAACAATATATTCAACTTTAAAATATTATGAACAATATTTATTGACAAATAAAATTGACTGATAGCCAAATGGGTTATGACAACAGCTTGACAAGCGACAGACCTGAGTTCAATCCCTGGCTGGGTCTGGGACTTATAATTAGTTATTTTTTACTAATTCATTTTAAGAGAGACTGTTATTAGATTGATACGTGATGTTAAAAAATTAATGGATTTGAAGAAGACAGTTTACGTGTTATATGCGTAAATATAAAGTATAATTAATAATTATTAATATTAATATCCGCAGTTTTTGTAAAGCAGGATCTAAACTAAAGTGACCATCCGTCCCGATTTAGGCGGGACAGTCCCGATTCTGAGTTAAGGGTCCCAATTTAATAAGCGTCCCGCTTTTGTCCCGCTTTCAATAAATTCAGACTATTAATAGTCTGAATAAAAGTTAATTAACTTTTACTCTAATTGTTTAGAATATTTAAGCCAGTACAGTAGTTAAAAAGCTCCGACATGGGAACAAGTACAAAAAAGTTTTGAGTTTCTTTTAAAAAAATTCCCCAAATGCACCATAGTTTAAAATGATTTATTTGATGAGACTCAATATGTTCATAATTATGTTTATGAGAGTAAACTTATTTTTTGGACTGAGCAAAAAACTCCCACAGATCAAAAATGGGTAGAAATGTTTAGTCATTTCGATGAAAATAACATTCCTTTCAATAATATTTTAAAATTAGTACAATATATATTATGCTTACCCGGTACAAACGCTTCTATCGAACGGGTTTTTTCTATGAAATTTGGACCACCGAAAAAACTAATTTGTCTGTAGAAACTTTAAAAGCTTTAGTGACTATTAAATATAATTTTAAAAGAGACTGTATGAGTTAAAAAATAAGCCCCTATTAAAAAAATTCATCAAAATGAAAAATATAAATAAAAATGTTATAGGTATTAAAAATTTAAAATCAGAATACTGATTGTCGTTTTTACTTGTAGTTTAAACTTTGTTTTTTTTTTGTATTTCATTACATATTTTGTATAACTACTTAGTATTTTTTATTTATCACTATAGTGATTAGGGTATACCCTAATTCTAAATTAAAAATAAAAACAAGATTTTTGACCATTTTGTAACTTTGTCCCGCTTTTGGACTTTTAGGATCTGGTCACTTTAATCTAAACATTATTTAAATTTACCTACTGGGCAACAATGAAGCCTTAGTTAACACGTTATACATAAATGGCACCTGTATGATAATTAAACATAGTGTTTTTGTATTCTTTTAAGCATTTTTCCATGTTGTATTGGTACTATTATAAAGACATATTTCAGTGGCTGCGTGCAAACTAATGGGTATAATTATTTAACAGCTACCATCCAATTACAGGCCCTGGTCATATAACATCTTTTTGTTTTAGTTGTTTTAGGAAGGTTAATGCTAAATTATAGTTCTATCGTTTGTGTTAATTTAGAATGCTCATTAACAAGATTCTTCGAATTGCCAAAAAAGTGGCAACATCCTTGCAAAGTGTAAATGTTTCTTTTGATTTGTTTAAGCAAATGCTGACAATCGGAATTTCAATTGGAATATTCTCGGGCAATTATTGGAATTTTTTGCTTGAGACATTCTTTATTGGCATCAGATTAAACGGGAATATGTATACACGAGCTCGAATTCGCGTATAGCGTTCGGAATAATTAAGGTACACAGTAACAAGTGAGTACATTTCACTACGTACGTAGGGGAAACGAGCAACGGTATGTGGTTGCAGGTCTAAAAAGTCGCGACGGCGAAGCGGAGAATTAGAAGTGTAACACAAGGAAGTCGTCGATAAATTTGCTCGTTTGGCAGGCACCCACATCCTTCGTTCGTACCGAAGTACTCGAGGTGCCCGGCCGCGGCTGCCCGGCTCGATCAAGTGGCACTGTCGATGACCAGGGCCCAACAGTGCACAAACCTTTGAACCTTACTAACTACATATGTACTCTCTTAAAATGAAACAGTCAAAATTCTACTATTTAAATTAGTACCAGCATTTTTTACTAATAAAGTAGTCGTTTTCACTTTTAAATAGTTATTTTTTACTACGTAAATAGTTAAAGTTTGACTAATTTAAGATTAGTCACCATCTTTGACTATTTCTGAGAGTTAAAAGTAACTAATTTCTTTAATCGTTTGCGGCCAACAACAAAGTATTATTTGAATTAAATTCATATAGACTCCATGGTTAAATGTCCCATAAAAACAAACAAAGATGCAAACAGTTTAGCTCAAAACAGCAAATATTATGAACAATATTTATTGACAAATAAAATTGATTTTTATAACAGTGATTTACACAGACCACCAAAACAAATGGACGGCGCATTGCCATTCAATAACAATGCATTGTTTGCGGTCAACAAACGGTTACAGTCTAAGCGTCAAATTTGAGATAGAATTTTATGTTTTCTTCCAGTGACGTCAACAAACGGTCACAGTCTAAGCGTTAAATTTGGCGATAGAATTTTATGTTTTCTTCCAGTGACGTATTGGGATTAAAAAAATAATAAGTAGGTAGGTACTTACAAACGATATTTCCATGTATTGATATTTTTAGTAAAAAATAATGTATTTACACTCCATAATTAACTTAAACACGATAGAAATACACAAACGAAAACACAAAACAACAAGCTGTCAACCCACAGAACATAACCTTTTTCTATGCTATCAAATATGACGAATTTACCAACGTTGTTAATATTTAATTTTAATAATAAATATTATTAAATGATTTACTTTCTTTAAATAAATAGAGAAAAATATCTAAAGAAAATGATGAACAAATCCTTTTTACAGTTTTTTTATTATTCAAACGAATTACTGGTAATTATTAATGTTCATTACGTTATGATGAACTTCCAAAAAGGCGTGTAATCTATACTTCTGACAACGTTGGAAGCTGTGTTTCTTTCGACGGTGTTTAGAATGTGAAACTATGCTTTACTCGCTTTTCAAACGTAAACAATCCCCGGCTGGGTCAAAACTTTTTTAAATTTAAATCTAATTTGACTATTTTATTCAGTAGAATTTGACTAATTATTAGTCAAATATGACTTATAATTAGTTATTTTTAACTAATTCATTTTAAATTTTTTAATTATATTATAGGTATATACAGGTTGTTATGTAATTAATGTTATATATTAAAATATTGAATACCTTTTGACATAAGGAATAAAGGAAAAATATTTAAAAAAACATTTTTCCAAAGAAAGAAAAAATATGCATTAGAAGTTTTTATATTTTTTGTGATACGCCACTGGTTACACACTTGTTTATCTCTGCACACCTGTATTTTGTGAGTACATAGATACCAACCAACAAAGTAGCTATGCGTTGCCAGATGTAAAAAATTGTTACTAAAAATTTTTCTTGCAAAAAATAAATAAAACCTCAATAAATACAAGTTTTATGCCCTTAAAGCTCTAATACCCTTCTGTATTTATTTACTGATCCAGCTACATAACCTAAAATTTAAAAGAAATGCACTAGATTCTGTCATAAAAGTTGGCAGATTTTGTTTGAATT